AATTTACTAATAGTCATCTTAAAATAATAACAATCACTAGGAATCATCTGATAAATCTTGTTAATCACAACATAATCAGGTCAAATAACCACTTAAATTATGCAGATAACCCATGGCAGACCACTTCAGATAATAATTGCTCCAACTGCTCAAGACTGAATAGTTTCTCAACTAGCTATACATGTAAATAGTAATCCTGTATGACCAACAGGCTAGTCTTTGACTATCTAACTGATTGTATGTCAAATCAAAGTAACTCTGTTGTCAACCCAATTAGATACCTCACCTTTGTTATCTTGAGATTCTTTCTCTTCTGAGTCATTTTCTTCGTGAGGATCATCTTTACCTTCAAGGTCATCTGGAAGTTCCTCTTCTTCATTGTCAGCCATGTTGTCTTCAAGTTTTTCGATCTCACCTTCATCTTTACTCACTTCATGACCATGCTTGGCCTCATCATTGCTAGTGTACTTGTCATTTGTCTTCCTTACAACTACAAATTTTAAACCAAAAATCACTTAAGCTTATAAATTACTGGACTATTTCTGCGTCTAGTGCAAAAATCTCCCAAAAACACTAGGATTTCCAGCTATGCAGTATAATCCACGAATTGTTCTTGATAGTCATGACACACACACGGCGTGTCGTATAGTACTTTGTAAAGATGAMACAAGTTTGTGAAAATCTAAAGGGCTTGAGATTTTATCTTGGTTAAATAGGTGTTCATTTGTCACAACAATACAACAAAGCCACAACATTCTCACCTTGTAAACTTGCACAATTCACTGAACAAAAGATAGAAAACACTTGAATAACAAGCAGAAGGACTTCCTGATTTGTAAGCTTCATAACCAAACTAAATTCAACGAAATCAGACCGACTTTATACTGAAACTCCAGTCATCAACTCGACGTAGTAGTATTGAAATGTTTTGAATTAAATTTTGGTAGCTTAGTAGCCACTCGAAAATGTTGAATTATGGGATTACGTGATGACATTACATACACAGGTAGCCCAAGCTAACTTATTAGGAGGTCCTGAAATAATTCCGTTGAAAAATATGGGGGCCTTAAATGTTTAAAATCATAGTTTAGGGGGGTCTTGAGAGTACAGAAATCAATATTTTTTCAAATAATTGTATTACTCTTTCTGTATGGATTATTTGAAATTTCTCTCTACTTCGACTCTACATAAGGCAGACAGAATATTACATCATAATCTTATCGTAATATTTTAAAATTGCAGCTAGGATGTTGCATGGTAAGGAAATTGAGTCGTCTGTAGCTTGAAAAATAAAGTTTAATGCAGACGTTTCGATCGCAACTGCGATCTTCTTCAGTGCAGTGGCAAAAATGCAACGTGTGCACGCGGTTTACACAAAAAATCAAGCATTTAACTAGCAGATTATAGCAATATCTATAATGCATGTAAATACGAAATTTTTGAAAGAAAAAATAAGTAAAAAACATTTTTCTTACCTTATGATGTGGTCTTAGTTATGAATTTAGGCGTAATTTGCCGTTTTTCTTTGAAGTGATATAAGTAAAGGAGGGGAGATATCAATGAAAAACGGCAAATTACGCCTAAATTTATAACTAAGTCAGTTCTCTTTGCCAAACTTCGTGTCATTCAGTTATRCACTAGTCAATTGAAACCCCCGCCCCCAGTCCCCCGCCCCCCGGGRCTAGCGGGGCACTGAACGGAGACGTGACGCATTTTWAACGTGCATTTAACAGCAACATTGCCCCGGGGGTCGGGATTTTGATGAATTGTTTTCGAAGCGGGGTAAAGATGATTGAGATGATTAAGATGATGGACAGAGGAGACAAAAAATTAACAAAAATGCTACAATCTTGGACATAAATACTTGACAATTTTTCGCTTGGGTATTACAAATACTGTATCGTGTGCATCAACTGAAAATATTCCCCTTCCCTCCCTCCCCTCCCTCCCCTCCCGCATCAACGTTGCATGCAGGGGTTAATGAATGGACAACCAATGAAAAGACAGCCACACAACATTGTATTGGGGGAAGGGGGGCACGATGAAGGTTTTATCGACGAAGAATGTGAGAAATGTCGTGCGTGCGTAAAAATTGTCAACATTTATGTCCAAGATTGTAGATCCGCCCCTGGAATGCTATTTAGGCACTGCATCCACAGTTTTCATAACGATTTATCTTTTGGCATTTTATGAAAAGTTCTCCAGTCTTTCGACGATAATTCCTGAATAGGCATGACAAAGTAGAATACAACTTTGTTTCTTTAATTTTTTGCTTGCTCAGCTTCATCCATTGTGATCACGTGGAAATGCTATAATTACTATCTAGTCAAAGCCTCGCTTTGGTTCTTTACAACCAACATCTAGTGAAAGAGTCATGAGACCTCTGCAGACATATGTTTGGGACAGAACATGTCGAAATTCTTTTGTTTTTTCTCCAGAAACTGATCCTACAATGCATTGGAAATCAAGGTGACGTAATAGGTTCAGAAGTCTATTATGTGAAGAAGAAAATTTCCAAAGACTTGAAATTTTAACTGAAAAGAAATTGTTGAAGTACGCGTAGATTGGAAGCAGCGCTATGCATTGCCTAACGGCCTATATTTTACATCTTTAATTGCTTTAGTCATTTCTAAACTACTACAAGCAACTACATGAAAACAAACCCACATGCAAACAAATTCACCAAAACGAATAGCTTTGCGACGTTATTGAGATCTCTATTCGACACAGAAAAATTGACCACAAATAACGATAACATTTGTGGTTATAGTTATTATCAATATTTCTATCATTAACGGCTGTCTTAACGGCTAGTTTAGCAATTTACGCGAAAGGCTGCTTTCTCGGCGTACTATTGTAAACGTCGAGTTTTCTGTTTTCTTTTTCCATCTTTCTTGATTGTAAAACTGTTTAAATCGTGTCGCTATGACAGGACTCGGTAAAGCTATGGCTAGAACACCAACCAAAGCACATACAGTCCCTAGTAATTTACCAAATGGTGTTTTGGGGACTACGTCGCCATATCCAACGTTAGTTAAAGTGACAATTACAAACCAAAAGGTAGCGGGAATGCTGGAGAATTTGTCACTCTGTGCATCATGCTCAGCGTGATATGTTAATCCAGAGAATACTACCATACTAACTATGACAAAGAATAAAATCATTAGAAGTTCTCTCCAAGTTGCTACAACAGTACGACCTAGAACTTGAAGGAACTCTAAGTGGCGAGCGAGTTTGAATATTCTACAAACTCGAAGAAGTCTAAAAGCGTTCATTATTCCAAATCCATCTGAGGAGTCGGAGCCTACTATTTCTTTCAAATAGAACGGCAAAACTGCAGCCACATCGATGTAGTTCAAAAAATCTTTTAGAAATGTTACTTTCTCAGGGCATGAAATAAAACGTGCTGTTATTTCAAATGTAAACCAAATAATGCAAGCCATCTCAATTCCATCGTACAAGCGGTTTATTTGAAGTACTTCTCCGCCTTCAGCACTATCTATTCCAGCTGCTTGATGTGGAATTGTCTCCGCACATAAGATAAAAATCGAAAGGAATATAAACATTATTGACCAACATGCGACYAGCTTAGCAATGTCGGAGCTCGATGGATACTCGAAAGATATCCAAAGGCTTCTGAGGATGCGGTTCTCAGGCAATATTTCAGTACAGCTTTCATCTTCAAGAAGGACGCCTTCGTCTTTCATATACTCTTCCAAAACTTTACGTCCAATTTGAAAAAATTCAAGCTCATTGTAAAAATTCTGCAGTGATACTGTATTTGGACGAACAAGAAGTCCTTCGGACTGGTAAAAAAATAAAATTGCATCAAATGCATTACGATTTCGGTTGAAAAAGTACTCTCTGTGATGTTGATCATAGTATTTCATTCTCTTGTCCGGACAGCCAAGTAAAGTCTCTGGGAATCGTGCCAATGTCGACTCGAACGTTTCAAACACTTGACCACTAACGTTGATTTTCACTCTGCGGCAGGACGAAGATGATGCTTTCACGTGATTGTAAAGGAGCCTTTGTTGATAATTTCGTGAAATTTGCCTTTGATTAGATCGCAAGTCTTGACATGTATTTGCACGCAAAGCTGACTTCATGTTGATTAGTACTTTGCTTCTAAAACAGACGTTTAAAGTTCATCGCTATTTGTGTTGTTTTTGACAAAGCTAAAACACGATTGACTTGTTCAACTAATATCCACGCAAAAAAGATCTCATTCTTTAACAAGCTCTGTGGGAGACTGGCTTCTCATAATTACGCGTCTAATTTACAACGTAAAATTGATGACTTATTATCTTTTCGTTTATTCAGTCACGTTTTTCAAAACCAATCTCTCTCACTCCTCGTAAAACCGACTTTCTTTTCTATGTTGTTGGTACGGCTTCCATTCTACAAATGCTATGATATGGCTTCCATAAATACCTATACAGAATTATAAGCTATGCGCTTTATAAATATGGAACTTTGCTTCATTAACATTATTCACGGGAAGTGACTGCATCAATTTATTGAATATCCTAAACAAACCAGCCAAAACATATGCCCATTGTTCGCACAGCCTTCCCTGCGTATTGTTTTGGAACGATTAAAGATTCTAGTTTTCAGTTGTACCCGGTTGTTTATGGTTCCCTGCTGTTTAAAACTTTCTCATTTATCCTTCCTCAGGTGAATGCCAACTTCACAAAGACAAACATTTGCAAGCCGCTCGAACATTATCAGTCATCTAATGCAAATTAATTCTCATATTGAGAAACATATACAACAAATAATTGAAGGCATCTGAATGTACCGTAGTGTCTACTGGAAAACATGTGCCCCACTGTCTTCACTCTGATTGGATAATAATTTACTTTCAAAATGCGCGCGCAATTGCCGTAACTTGCTTCATCACATGTAGGGGTCTCACAGGGCCGTAGCCGTTCGAAAAAAACAAAATAGCACCTTCAACTGTTGGAACAACCAAAAAATAGATGCAGCACTAGTTTTTAAATGATAATTCAAACAGAGTTCTCCTCATAATTGCGCTCCGCAAAAGACGCAAAAACATTTCAGTGGTTAGGTAGATGAATGTTTTAGATCACTTGAGACGGAGCACTGAACGGCATGAAATGAACAAATTTACCAAGTATGACAACAATCCGTTCGAGGAGCACTTCAAAAAATTAACAGAGAAATAGATATTAACATTACCATACGTTTTTTGTACATTTTTGTGAAAGGATCATTGAGGGTTAATTACGTCTTCGTGGGTGTTGTGATTCGCGAATTACACTGAAAATAGGCTRCTAGCAAATATGTCTGTTTCCTATGGCGCTGCAACCTCGTKGGTTATAGGTCTATAAACACGAACGGTTACTGACAAACCGTTATTAAATTACTTATCTACCTTTCATCATTGGAGGTGAGAATACTTTTGTTATAAAATATCCAAGGCATAAATTCTTTGAAATAACGCGACTTAATGGATAAAAACATATTTTCTTCTGTACAAATGTTTAAAATATAGAACAATATAGAACCTGCATACTAAACATTTTGACTGTACGTTGTTAATTTAATATGTACACTTATACACAAACTATCAATCTAATTGTYGAAACCATTTTTTTTATCTTTGTGACTGATTGTTAGCGGTCAGCGACGGGTTCAGTGTAGACAACTGATATAACCTGTCCAATGGCCTTGGTGTGACCTTCCCTGAACAATAACCGAGATCCTTCTTCAATGAATTCTGGCTGTTTGACGAACTGAAACTTCACTTTAGCACGTTGTCCCGTCCGTAAACACTCCTATAATGTACAGACAATTAGTTCCAAGGCTTTCTTATTCCTACTTTGATCAGTTGTCAAAATTTGTGGTCACAGTCTCTCTCGCGGTACCAAGTGTTTTAATTCRCGTCTCAGTGCTTGCGCTTATTTGCGCTACGTGAGAGCACCAAAAGGAGGGCTGGAAACCACCAAAATCATTGGACCAATAGGAAGCGACTTCATTTTATCAAAAATCAGTAGTAAAAATTCGGAAAAAATGGAAATGTGTTCTACAATTATAGGCAATAAACTGATAGAAATTTAGTTTCTTATCGTCAGAGTGAAAGCTTTGATGATATATATTTACCTTGTTCATATCAACGATGATGGCATTTTGAATGACATTTCCAACGTACACAGTGGCCTGAAAACGTTTATTGATGGATGCGTGGTGGAATAATAAATAAACTTCAGCCCAGAAAACTAGACAAGCACGAGGTTTAAGTTGAATATCTGCTAAGACCATTCCCTGTCGAAACAAAAAAAAATCACAACAAATCATCACCTGCCGCGCACCCTTTGAGAAAAGATTCTGGTATTCCGTGATCGCTGAACGATGGTATTTTTGTCTTTCATTAGTGTCAATTTGTGCACCTTGTGGGAAAATCCTTAAAAAAAATAATCTTTTTTTAAAGGTATTTCTGCTTTGAATGTTGACTGTTTGGGCCGGTAAATAAAAATAAATAATTCATTTGTGTAATTATTAGTTTGCAATACTGATACAATCATTCAAGGGATGRTTAAAACTGTTAATAAAGAGAAATCCCTTTTGTCCACCATGATATTACAATCAATACAACAATCTTTTTAACTTTCCTAAAAGCTGACTGACATGCATATTTAACACACATCAAATGGTTGATTATCGGCCTCATTGTCCTGCTGTAGATTTTCAGTTATCACCATAACAACCATAAACGAGGAAGCAGTGATTTCTTACCCTTCGCAGCATATGTCGCTCGATTCCCTTCAACGCAACAGAAGCTGACTGTCCGGCTCGTACCACGCGACATGACGCACGGTTACGTTTTACAGACATCACTTGAACTGGTTCAAACTGACCTGAGTAGAACGGACCAACTAACAAYTCATCTCCCTCTCGAATTATGCCACTAGTAATTCACAAAACAGTATTTCAGTATTGCTTTTTTTGTGCTACAGTGATTGAAATAGAATCAATTATCACTGTGAATACCTGGTTAGTGTTCCTAGTACAACAGCACCAGTCCCAGGAACATTAAACGTCTCGTCAATCTGTAGTACAACAAAGATATAAGGACAACAGTGACTTTCAATAGATTCTTTGAAAATAAAAACACACATAAAAGCCAGTTCTCATGTAGACTTTATCAACTCATGAAACAGAACCAATCAACCAGACACTCTTGACCAATCAATTTTTCCGCACTTTCAAGCATTAWTTATGGATTATTCGTTTTTGGAAAGCTCGTTATATAAATAACACACAAAATTTTATAGATTGTCATAATAAATGGGATCAGCTACTTCCTCATACAATTAGATTGTCATAAAAAATTATTGATGTTTATTCGATGTTTTTTACTTTTTGGAATAAACTGCAACTGTTTTATATTTTTTGTGATTGAGGACTCCATATCGCAATACCTGGGCTATTATGACTTATACTGGAAATCACCAATTGTTATTTCACCTTGTATTTTGTAAGAGCCTGTGAAAGCTTTTCTTTGTCTGCACTTGTTGTACTAGGTTGAAGAATGTTGAGAAATTTTTTCAGCAAATCCAAGTTTTCACCAGTCACACAGGATACGGTAAATATTGGAGTGATTCTATGAAAAACATTAGATTGAGAGTGATTTTGCTGAGAATAATACTTTAGTTAAGGTACTGATTTTGTTTTTCATCATTTCTTATGACCACCACAGGTTTTTACCATGTGCACACTCAGTTGTCTGAAAGTGAAAGTCAATTTGTAGCAATCTTTGTGACCCTTTGTGGCCAACCAAATCATAGTAAATACACCTGCATCAAATCCCTCCCTGAAGATGGAAGTAGTCCATCAACTAAACCTATAATCACATCATACCATACTAGAACCAATAGTCCATCAACTAAACCTATAATCACATCACACCATACTAGAACCAATAGTCCATCAACTAAACCTATAATCACATCATACCATACTAGAACCAATAGTCCATCAACTAAACCTATAATCACATCACACCATACTAGAACCAATAGTCCATCAACTCAACCTATAATCACATCACACCATACTACAACCAATAGTCCATCAACTCAAAACTCACTGATGAGATGTAAAGTTTTGTGCTGCCACAACTGCATCATCTTCGGTTTGAACCCTTAAAGGAACTTTATTGCAACCAGGAGACTTGAGGATGCGCTCAACTATTGCAGTGGTTCTCTGGATCATTGCAGGGGTGCAAATATCAACCTTGGTGATTACTACAAAGGTTGGAACACGCAGTGCCATTGTTAGGCCGAGATGTTCCTTAGTTGTACCAACTAGAACACAAGGTTAACAAATTAATATCTAGTATATAATATAATAACAAGAACCTGATTAAGACATTTTGAAAGGAATACATAAACTACTAGACCAAAAGGGTTATTCAAATTATGTCACAAGGACGACCCACTAGGACCTGTATAAGCAGGCATTCTGATATAGTTCCGCAAAAAATTACAATTATGCGGCATTTTGACATCAAATTATGCGGGACAAATGTTCAATTATGCGGCAAAAATTCCCGATTATGCGCTAAATTGCGCAATATTTTGAAATCTTTTTCTCATGTTTATTTTAATTTTTTGTCACATAAAAACATTTCATTTAGGATTCTATGGTTTTTAGTGTTTATCTAATCTAAAACAACAGACTAATGACTTTTTATTGCTTCAAGTTTTAATTTCAGGCTTGTTTACTAGTATTGTCATGACCTTGGTCACTAGGGATCGCTAAACTGCATTTTTTCCGATGCATTTTTTCGACTTGGACAYGATAAAGGGGCGTTTTAGTAAGCCTTTTCTTACAGTTAGTTAGTTAATTTATTTTTAATGGGAAACATGTTTTTGTTTCGAAAAGTATGCAATTTTTGACTAATTATGCAGAAAAATGCGATTTTTAGGTGATTATGCGAAATCGCATCATCGCACTATATCAGAATGCCTGAACATGGTGATCGGTTCAAAAAAGTGMTGTTTTTAAACCTGTTCTTTGAGCTATTTAAGTTTAGTTAAGTCAGATGAGGGAAACATGTTTTTGTTTCGAAAACTATGCAATTTTGGACTAATTATATGATTTTTATCTATTATGCGGAAAAATGCATTTTTTAGGTGATTATGTGAAATCGCATCATTGCAGAATGCCTGTATAAGATCCTATTCACAGTATCTCACAGGATCCTGTCTAGGATTTGCACCAGGGATGGAGCACTTTTTCTTGATATTTATCCAATGAGATGATAAAATAAATAAAATGAATCATTTGAATGTGACTTTGTATGTAAACAAAATAATAAATAACAAACCTATGCCAGAGTTTCCTGCAATAGTGAGCATTGCAAAGTCAGGTGAATATCCTGTCAAACCAAAGATAGTTGTCTTCATGTACTTGTGATGACCAGCCAAGTCAATGAAGGTTATTAGTTTGGTAGACTGTTCACAGATATCCTCAGCTGACCTTGATTCACTGTAATTCACCAACTAAAGATGCAGTAAATAAATCAATGTACTGTGGTCACATTTTTTGGTAATGTTTTTAGTTAGGACTATCATTGCCAGCTATCAAAMTGAGTGGGGGCTTAAATAAGAATAACTTCTGTTTGATCCCGGACACAATTTACAAAACAAATTGCTGCCATACCTCACCATTACTGTTAAACCCCAAGATCTCATGGCTTATACTGGATGTTCGTCCTGACTGAATTTCATGTAAATGTCGGAACAAATTAAGCCTGGCACGACCATGACCATTATCTAGTTCATCATATGTTAAGACACCTAGCAGTGTACTCTTTCCTGATTCTACATTCCCAAGAACTGCCATCCGTATGTCAATAAACTAAAAACAAAAAAAGACTCTAGCCTGCCAGTCTCTCCAGTATGACTTAAGAGATCAAGTAAATCACCTGGGCATCAGAATATGTGCACTTATAAAATACTCAATACTCACTTCAAATAAAAACCTTCAAAAGAAATGTTATCCCAGGGTCACACAAACATATCTTTTACTGTTGTTTTTGTCAATTTTCTGACTTTTGGGGGATTATATAATTGCTTATAGTTTGGTCAGACTGCCCAGGAAAATATTTCACTCTTTGCAGTGGATACCATAACCTTGGACCATACTATAGTCTGTGATAGAGAGGTGTCTGTGATATAGAGGTGTCTGTAATATAGAGGTGTCTGTGATATAGAGGTGTCTGTAATATAGAGGTGTCTGTAATATAG